TCGGCGGAAAAAGCGACTCCACAGTATGGGTGCCCTCGCCTATGACCATCACGTGGTACAAGTACTTAATCCATGCCCTTCGCAATAAGAGCGCTTTCTTTCGTCAGACGAGTTCTGTGATTGGTAAATAAAACTAGTGCAACGTGAACTGACCAATGAGAGCAAAGTGTTAATTAAGGTTTTGGTTTGTCAGTCACTGACAAGCAGATGGTCTTATTACAAGTCTTGTTTCAACCTCGGTTTTCAACGTCATGCCATTCATTTCAATTTTTTTTCTTTTTCAGTCAAAAGACCTAAGTAAATTCGTCCTTTGAACAAATAGTGCACATTATTTCCTGCACAGTGCATTAATGCTGTCGCTCTCGATGTTTTCAGTCTCACTCGCAACAAGGCGATAATATTATATCACCGACAACTCATTCATGACGTCTAAAATGTCCAATTTCATGACAGCCTTTTAGGTTTCTGCAAATACGCGGCTTTTTTATAACAAACTCACACCAATGACGTTTACTTCTTGGTTTTCTTCTAAGTCTGTTATAAGAAAGTTCAAGAATTTAAATTTCAGAAACTTCGTATTTCTATGTTAGCAAAAACCTTAACAATCTGGAAGAGAAAGTTTTGGAATACTTTACTTTTTGCTTCAGTAAACAAAGGAACTCATTTAAGCCAAAGTACTCCAGCTGGTCCGAAGTAGGCTGGTTAAATAAACTTGGTTAAACTTGTTAGCAGCCATTATTAAGATACAAAAGCAATTTTTAATGACAACTTTGGCAGTTCTCATCGAGTCAGCGCTTAATCTCAAGACCTAATTGTTTTTGTCTAATTCGCTTATCGTCGCCTTGGGAAAGGAAACTCTGTTCGCGAACTTGTTGTATTAAAGAAACGGCAATCAACATCTTGAAGAAATCAACTTGTGATGTGCATGTGAGGCACTTTTTCTCAATCTCCGAAGTGGAAGTCCCCTATTCGATTGTCATCGCTTATTGTGTCTTTAACGGTTTTCTGTCCTATAACGCCATTATGTTGAACATTGTAACAATCCACGCCATAAGAAAAACGTCTTCGTTGCCAAGGACTCTGAAAACATTGCTCCTGAGTCTTGCTGTTTCTGATGTTGGTGTTGTTTTACTGATTCAACCATTTGCCATCTCACTTCTGGTCAAGGGGTTACAAGAAAACTACCCTGCCTGTGGCACGTACAAGGTTTTTGAAATTTTGCTGGTCTTGTTTTCTAAAGCTTCGTTCTATGGTGTCATTGCCATAAGTGTGGACAGGTTCTTAACTATTCACCTTCATCTCAGATATCAGGAACTTGTGACTCATAAGCGTGTGGTTGCTGTGGTGATCTCAATATGGGTGTTAAGTGCATTTGTTTCTTCAATGGTGTTGTGGGTTCCACCTGATAATCGCCCCTTAGTTCTATCCATTGGTACTGTTATTGGTCTTCTTCTTACAACACTGATTTACATCAGGATTTATTTAGCTGTGAGACGCCACAAGAATCAGATACAGGCCCTGCAGGCACAGCATGCAGCACAGACTGGCGAAATCGCAAATTTTACTAGTCTTATTAAATCTGCAGTCGGTATATTCTATGTATATCTTGTCTTTCTGGTTTGTTATTTGCCGATCTTTATCAGTATGGCCGCACTAATAATCTACGGCTTGAACACCGCTTTGAATAGATCATTCCTGTTCTCTTGTACTCTTATATTTCTTAATTCATCTTTGAATCCTGTAATTTACTGCTGGAAGATGAGACACGTTCGAAACGCTGTCCTGAACATACTGGGGAACTTGTCTTGGCACAGAAATCGTCCATGACGCTAATCGTAGAGCCGGCCATGCTATGCCATGATTCTGTTTTCATAGACGTACTTCTGTGACTTCTGTATAGAACAAGGACTGCGACAACAGCATGAAGGAGAGCATATACCAACACCATACTGAAGGACAAGTCCACTAGCATTTGGTAAAATGATAAAACAATTCTGTTACACTTCTGGGTTAAGGTGGCCGAACACAGTTTTGATACCTGTGTTTCAATCTCCTTTTTCTCTAAAACCGTTGACCCTTTGGTCGCCAAAAATGGCTGCACGCAAGTTAACAACACAAACTTCAGATTTTCGATAGCTAGGCTGACGTATTGTGCCGTTGCCATGGCAACATGAATAAATATAAAGACAGGCCTTTAGAATCGGTTTTGTTTGTTTGCAGAAAATCTAGACGTTAGATTTTCTTTTTCATGTGCATGCAACAAGATTGTAACAATGCTCGCAAGTTAGCACTATTTTAATAATAGTTCAACGAAGGGATCTTTAATTATCACTTGTAGAAGTTTAACTAGAATATCTAGAATCGCCTCTGTCAATTTTCTTTTTTTTTTTTCCATATTCTAGTTACTTGTTTTCTAAAGTACTTTCGTGCCAAATTTCGCAAAAATTCTAACGACTGGTTCTCGAGAAATAGGCGTATTTCCAAGAAAGCTACTCCGCATTCAATCAAAATTTTTTTGCCTTACTACGCATGCGCTGCATTCAACTGGGTTCTTTCGGTAAAAAAGAAAAATCTGAGAATTGCTGGGTTCTTTTTGTCGTTACCTTTTCTAAAGAGTAAAGCCATAAATACACTGTTCAATTATGAAAAAAAA